CGACTCGCTTTCCGGAGCATGCGAACCAGTTTTACGCGTTGCGCCGCCCAGACACTACAGCCAAAGTGCGTATGCTCGGCTACCTTGTCGACTTCTACGATATCCAATGGCAAACGTGGGGGGTTTTCCGGCGGCGACGACAAAGCAGACGACGAGACCTACACGGACGAGGGTGAAGAGGATGCCGCTACTGCTGACAAACCGTCAAAACTCTCCCTGTGGGACGCTGTTCAGACATGTCCAGAGCTTGCCGTCGACGAATTGGAGTCCGTTCTGGGCCTGAACAAGCAAAACTTCATCGTTCCAGAGACTGCGCGAAACTGAAGTTGCCGCCTCAGGCGACAAAGAGACGTCAACTGCTGGCGCCTGACCGCGTCGACGATACGGGCGTGCTGGTGGCAGGAAAACGGCTGGACAGCACCTGGAATGCCAAGCAGTTGTCCTTCTCAGAGACAGGACGGATTACTTGGGAGGAGTTCATGGAGCAAAAGCAACCAGAGAAGAACAGGAGCATGTCGACGCGCGTCGGCTGGGACTGTGTGGCAATATTGACGACCCCAGAGAGAATGTTATTACTTTCGCCGAGGCGAGCGTGCTCAAGCGAAGGAAGTCCGACAAACGCTGATACTCTGTTCGAGGGAGGAGAAGAGCTCACGGCATCGCACTACTTCGGATCCCCTGGACCGGCACTCTGCCTCTGCTCGGGCGGGATGATGCTGGCGAAAATCACGCCATTAGGTTTGGATGGGCCTGTCGTTCACGGAGGGTTACCGCTCAGTTAATCAGTTTCAGTCTTTCCCAACTCTTTCCGATCCGCACTCACAGGCTGTGAGTGGCTCTCTCCACTACACGTGCTATAGGTTCATCTCGGTCGAGCCGTAGCGGTGGCTTCTTGGCTGCGGCGCTTACGGACGTGAATATGGCGAGCGGCAAGCTGCTCCTCGGGTGGATCTATTTTGAGTCAAAATGATACTGACGTTGCCGCCGCTGCTGGTGACAAGTGATCGAGAATCCTCGATCGTGAGCAGTAACTGAGAACGTCTTGGTTGCCTCCGGCGTGGATTTTCAGACTGCAGGGCGCCGGCATCAAAGGATTCGACAACAGCGCTGCCTTGACTAGGTTGTCTGCCTCAGCCAGCTTGAGTGACGGAGGTAGATGCGACAAGATGATTTTTGGCAACACTAATCGCTCAGAAAAGTCGAATAATACTTTGGGATCTTGAAATTAGATGATTCAAAAGACGAGCCGCACGTGTTCGCGACTCGACTACATGTGAGGTGAAGTTCTTGGTCTCGGCGGATTAGATGCAGACGCGATGGTGTGCTGCGCAAGCCAAGAAGCTAGGACTATCTTGTTGTGTGCCGCGTCGTGTGAGAGGTGAGACACGAGACAGGCATGATTGCTCAGTTTCTGGTCCGTAACTCGACAGTTCCCCAGTGGCACAACGAGTTCAATTTGATTCCGTCATATCGACATCTCCTACGGTTCATGTACCCAGCCACAAAAACACCCCTTCCAGGCTGGCTCAGGGTAGGCCCAGGACGCCGTCAGCTGAGCTAGACGAGCAACCCACACATGGCAAGGATGACATCGTTTGTCTCCTCCTCGGCGTTCACGTCTCCGACGTATCCCATTTTCCCGTTGCGGACTTGCGCAAAACAAACCGCAGCCTGCGTTAAATCTGTAACCTTCTCGGTAGGGAAGACACGCGATTCGGTGACTGATGACTCGTTCGGGCCGTACAGAATCGCGTGAGGATGCACACCCTTGAGAAACTGTGCTTTCTGGCTGTATTGGGTCGGAAGTCTCTCTGCAGCGCTGCCGGCTATGTGTGCGTGGAGCGCGACGGTGGTCCGGTGGTAGTCGCCGCTTTCCCAAGCTAAACCAGCTTTTGCGAAGAATGGCCTTATTTTGTTGGGCTTGACGAAACTGCTGAAATGACCCATGGCGATGGCGGTGCCACCCTGGCCAACGTAGGCGATGATGGCATCCCAGACCCTAGGGGACTCCTCTGTGAGGGCTGCGTCCGTGATGAGCACGGCGGTCGGAGGCGGGCTTTGTTGTATGAGGCTAAGGGCGCTTGACGACTGTTTCCCCCATTGGATGTCTGCCTTTTGTCGGAGCCGAGTGAGGAGGTCAGCGTATATCTCATCGAAAAACGATTCGTACTTCAGCGAGATGGCCACGATGCAGGGCTTGAATCGAGTTGTGGCGCTCATTGTGGCTATACAAAGCGATGGGCGTGCTGCTAATCAGTTCTTGACCTACATCAAACCTTAGGATGACGAGCACCGCATTTTATCAGTCACAGCACCCTCGTGGTTGATTAACCGTGCGGCGTGCTATCTCAAATAGACTACCTGGAACGTACAGGGGATACCTGCATGCATGCAGGATGCGCTGGCATCCGCCAGAGGTGAGAAAAAAGGTTAGAAAACCTTACCACCTGCCCAACATGAGAGGCCCAGCCGCGCGTCGGCTAAGCGGCAAGATTGAAAGCGAATGCGCCGGGGTAGGTGCTCCGATGCTACTCGGGAATAGCGCGCAGAAGCTCTTCGGGGTCGTCCTCGGAAGCATCGTTAAGCTAGAAACTATTGGCAACTCCGATGGCTGCTTGTAGCGGCCGGGGCATTCGAGGCGTTGGTCCGGGACCCAACGGTGGAGGTCGTCATGAGGGAATATGTGCAATGATCAGAGGCCATCGAGCCGCGCTTCGTGTTCTGCCATGTTTGATGAGGCTCACAAAGCCACCGAGATTGGAGGCGGTATGCGGATATGCAGCTACCAGGAGAAGCCCGCACGACGTCCGGTGAGATTTGAACCGTCCGGCAGCTTAAGCCGCCACTCGCGGCGCGGAATTTCGGGGCAGACGTGCGGCTCCTGTACCCGGTGCTGGCACCGGAGGCTCGACTCGACACTACGGCTGAATGCCCAAGACTGCTCAAGGAGATGCGATGCCCGCTGGTCTCTGCGCACAAGCTGGCAAGCCGACAAACCTCCTGTTTGTCGCCCGCCGTGGCCGGCGACATACCTGGAGTGTGGTGGTTGGCTGACAGCGTGCCATCACTGCGGCGTTCTGCTAGGGCAGCCCAGTCGATGTAGCCACCCTCGCCCGGGTGCCGTCGACTTGCATGCGGGGCAGGCACTTGCACCGGTTTACCAGCGGCAAAGTACCGGTACCAACACCGTAGCAAGGGGTCTGCGGGGTGCCACAAGCGATGGGCTCGGCTGGCCTACACACAACTGGGGTTCGAGGCAACGGGACGCAGCATGCATCCTAGTAGCGCAGCGGATTGCAGCCGCCTAGCCAGCGAGTACCCCACGTCCTCATTGAACGCAGCCGTCGCCGAATTTCCAGTCGTTCGCCCCGATGTCTGCCTAGAAGCGCTGGCCGTTGGCCGGACCTACAGTAATGTCGGAAGCGCCTCACGACAAGGTCTCCGCGGATGGTTGACATCGTGCGGCAGAGCAGTTGGCAGCCAACATGGAGGAACGATGAGCAACGCCTGCTGAGGCAGCAGTAGGCACCAACGCAAGGGCGCAACAGTCAGGATCAGCCACAGACAGTCCGACTTTTGCGCCTGCCGTTGAAAGGCCGAGTCTCATCGACCCGGCGTGTCCCTGTATCAGTCGACCAATGTCCCATCCGAACCACAAGTCGTGGACTAGCTGCGTACGCAGAAGCCTGCGTGGGAGACACTGCGTAGGCAGAGGCTTGCGTGGGCGGAACAGCCGCTTGCGCAGAGACCTGCGTAGGAGAGCCTGTATAAGCAGAAGCCTGCTTGGGAGAGACCGCATAGGCAAGATCCTGCCTGAGCAGGGTCGCTAACGCAGCTTGTATCCGAAGCAAATCTGCGCAAGCAGTACAACACAGAAGCAACAATGGCTCTTGATATGGCTGATAAAGCTGGATCCATTTCTGCAGCAACCTCGTGGGTAAAGGCCATTTCTGGCGATTGGGCTCTATGCTCCCTTCGCGACAAGGTTTTCACGGCCAGCCCCTTTCTTCGGCAACCGTTTCTGGACTCCCGGCCAGGCTGTCTAGCCATCCGCCGTCCATGACGACCACCACTCTTTCCGCTCGTTTGAACTTGGCATTTGGGCATTGCTGCTGCTCTGCTAGATCTATTTCTAGCGCCTCTACACTGTCGATTTTGGTATTGATGAACTGGTGTAGTGAGGAAGATAAATGAGATGATATGATTAATGAAGTGTTAGAACTATAGATCCCCTTGCTTAGGTGAAACTCACTAGTTACAGTCATTGCTCAGTTAACTACATGTTACGACCCGTAAACAAGGATCACAGCTGAACGACCCACTTGGGCGTCGGGCGGCTAGGACAGGACATTTGTACTGCAGGATCACGGGAACAACAGGGACCCACTCGGTACGGAAGAACTGTTACGGTCAGCTATCCGACAGTAGGGTCTGCTAACAGAAGCTGGGAATTGAGACGTAATAACAGTACACTGGGGTCGTGGTCTGGGTCGTAGGTCGTAGGCTGTAGTAGATCGGTCTTCAGAGGCTAAGGTGATCAGTCTTAGACTTAGCAAGTAATTCGCAGTGAAGGTAAGCTGAAAGTATCCTGAGGATGAATACTAAGTTGATTGCTGAAGAGCGTTAGGAGTCTGACCTTGAGCCAGGCTCAGGTCATACTATATACAAGTCCAGGATAGTCCTACTGTCCCGGGACCGATGATCTCCGGGCGGTCCCCGGGGTGGACCGCTTATCCCGTGTCGGTCCTCCGTCAGGACAGCTTATCTCACGTTGGTCCTTCTTATCGTCACGTGACTTGCACCATAGTTCTTCCGTTCCTGAGTGACAACCAACCAACCGTGATCTTGCAGTACAAATGTCCTGTGAAAAGATACTGTTTTTTAGCTTTTGGAAGAATCATTCGACGTTGTTGGGTTGAGTGTTGTCGAGAAGCTTCGAAACGCGCTACGCGGCACTAGCACGATCCACCGCGTGGCAACTCTGCGCACGTCCCGACGCGATGGATCTCGAGCCAGATTCGACGTCCATCACCGTTGCGAGGGAGGTGGTGACAGCGAGCGACGAGGACCTGCCATCACGAAGGGTGCGAAAATCATCGGCGAAAGCTCGACTAAACCAGACCCACCAAGAGAAAACCGACAATGCGATCGAGGGAGCGACCGAGATGGTTGGTGGTGGCCGGCGGACGACCACCTCTCGAGCTGCAACCCTGGCCAAGGAACGCGCGAAAGCCGTTGAGGATGACGATAAAACGCTACTCCTGACGATGGGCAGGCAGATCAAAGAGCTTCACGCAGCGATCAAGATCATGTTCGATGCGTGGAAGAAGTCGGAAACATGGAATAAGAACGTTGAGGCAGAGCTTCGCCTGGTCACCGCAGAGTTGCAGACAATGAAGAGCGAGCTACAGGCTGTCAAAGGAGAGCTACAAGCGATGAAGCAACGCGTGGAGGACGAAAGCGCCAAGACGAACGAAAACCTCGAAGCAATCGCTACAGTGGCTGCGACGCGGAACAGTCCAAGGGTGTCGTATGCGGACGTCGCCCGAAGCGGCTCGGGTGAGCAAGGCCGCGACTCGCAGGCAGCCACGCCGGGCAACGCGACGCTACCGAGCCGTAGTGACCCCTTATACTGTACGATTGACGCATCACGAGTCGAAGAAGGCAGCGATAAGCCCAACGCAGGCCGTATTCGGGCCGCGGTGGAGAAGGAGGTGCGCACGATGGATGGACAGGGTAGCTGGCGCTGTCGGGCCATCACAGTAGACCCAAAGAACGCGGATAGAATCCGGATCATTTGCCGCGATGATTCTGAGCACAAGCTTGTCAAGCAGATCGCGGAGAAGAGCTTCGGTCCTGGAACCCGAGTCCTGCGAGACGAACTCTACCCCGTGAAGGTCGATAACGTGAGGCGAACTGAGGTACTGGACGAGAAGGGCAACGTCAGAGCCGAGGCGGCGGAGACACTTAGCCGAGAAAACGAGGCCACCGTTGCCAAGATATCTTGGCTTAGCAAGAAAGACATGCCCAAGGCGTATGGGTCCATGGTCGTGTTCGTGACCAAGGCCAGTGATGCGCGTAGACTGATCTCCGAGGGCTTCTTCTACGTTGGAGGAGAGTCCGGCACGACGATGGCGTTTGAACGGCGGTCGCGTCCTCAACAATGCTACAACTGCCAGCAGATTACCAGGCACAAGGCGTATCAGTGCGAAAACCCCCGGGTGTGTGGACGCTGCGCCAAGGTAGGTCACCACCACTCTGTATGCCGTGAGACGATCGTGACATGCGTGCCTTGTGGCGGACCGCATGAGTCGTTTAGCAAGAACTGTCCAAAACTGTACCCGCGTTCCTATGACTAGGAAGGTCCAGATTCTTCAGCTCAACGTGAGGAAACAGGATGCCGTGCACGAGAGTTTGATGAACGACGAGGCGTTGAGTGACTTCACGGCAATAGCGGTGCAGGAACCGTGGGCGCGGAAGACAGAAGGTAAGGTCATTACTGTTCCGATGGGACATAGCAGGTGGACGAGGATGGTACCGACGGAGTGGAGGGACGAAGGAAGATGGGGGATCAGGAGTTTGCTGTGGGTGAGCAGAGACATAGAGGCAGACCAGCTGCCCATAGCATCGCCGGACATCACGGCGGCCGTTGTCCGGCTTCCGGATCGACGAATGCTGGTGGCATCGGTGTATGTGCCGGTGCAGAACCCGCCGATGCTGCGGCAGGCGTGTGACCTACTGAGACAAGCCATCAGGAACGTTCGAGGAGGGACAGGCGAAAGGGTAGACGTCGTCCTGGTAGGAGACTTCAATCGCCACGACTACCTATGGGGAGGCGACGATGTGTCGGAGGACCGGCAAGGCGAGGCGGATCCGATCATCGATCTGATGAGCGAGTACTCGCTTCGTAGCCGCCTTCCGCGGGGTACGAAGACGTGGGAGAAGAACGAGGCGGCAACGACGATTGACCTGTCTCTTGCATCTGAGGAGATAGCCAGGACAGTAGTGCGATGTGGGATACATCAGAAGGACCACGGCTCGGACCATCGTGCGATTGAGACGATTTTCGACATCGCGACACCCGAGACAGAAAGTCGTCCTCGACTACTACTGAAGAATGCGCCGTGGAAGCAGATCAGCGAGAGAATAGAGTCGAATCTTCGGCAGGTGCCGTTTGGAGGCACGGTGCAAGAGCAGACCGACCGATTGATGTCGGCTGTGTGTGAAGCAGTGGAGGCACTGACACCGACAGCCAAGCCGTCTCGATATGCCAAGAGATGGTGGACGGCTGACCTCACCCAGCTCCGGCAGATACACACATATTGGAGAAACCGGGCAAGGGCAGAGAGGAGAGCAGGCAACAGACGGCCGGAACTTGAAGAACGAGCACACACAGCAGCAAGGCAGCATCACGAGGCTATCCGTCAACAGAAGAAAAGCCATTGGGAGGACTTTTTGGCAGACGACGCCAACATCTGGAAGGCCGCGAAGTACCTCGACGCCAGTAAAGGGGCATCCTTCGACAAGATCCCCCAACTAAAAACAGCGGATGGCTCTCCAACGGAAAACGCCATGGAGCAGGCCGAGGAGCTGCTCTCCACATTCTTCCCTCTTCTTCCGAGCAACATCGAGGACGAGGGAGCACGGCCGCAGAGGTCGCCAGTTCCTTTCCCCGACCTCACGCTGGGAGAAATAGAGAGACAGCTCTTTGCGGCAAAGTCGTGGAAAGCTCCCGGAGAGGACGGTTTGCCGGTGGCAGTGTGGAAGCACACATGGCCGGTGGTGAAGCAGAGGGTGGGTGCACTCTTCCAGACGTCACTTAATGAAGGGGTGTTGCCGAGGCAATGGCGACACGCAAAGATCATCCCGCTGAAGAAACCAAACAAAAGCGACTACGGTATAGCAAAGGCTTGGCGGCCGATCTCGCTTCTCTCGACGCTCGGAAAGGTGCTGGAGTCGGTCCTGGCAGAGCGTATCTCGTACGCTGTCGAGACCTTCGGCCTCCTTCCTGCAAGCCACTTCGGCGCTCGCAAACAGAGATCGGCAGAGCAGGCGCTAGTACTACTACAGGAGTACATCTACAGAGCGTGGAGGAAGCGAAAGGTGGTCAGTCTGGTCAGCTTCGATGTCAAGGGAGCATACAATGGTGTGTACAAAGAGCGGCTACTTCAAAGACTCAAGGCACGGGGTATCCCTGAGAAACTGGTGAAATGGATCGATGCTTTCTGTTCCCATCGTTCGGCAAGCATCCTGGTCAACGGTCACGAGTCCGAGGCCCGCCCATTACCACAAGCCGGGCTGCCTCAGGGCTCGCCGCTGTCACCCGTGCTCTTCCTCTTCTTCAACGCCGACCTCGTACAACACCAAATCAACGAAAACGGGGGCGCGCTCGCCTTCGTCGATGACTACACAGCATGGGTCACCGGCCGATCGCGCGAAGCAAACCGCCAGGGCATCCAAGACATCATCGACCGAGCACTCGAGTGGGAACGACGAAGTGGAGCAACGTTCGAGACGGACAAGACGGCTATCATCCACTTCACGCGCAACTGGAGACTGCCGGCGGACTCGAACAGCTTCGTCATCAAAAGTGACACCGTCCGACCAAAGGACCACGTCAAAGTACCAGGGGTGACGATGGACACAAAACTTCGTTTTGAAAAGCACATTGCAGACGCGACGACAAAAGGGCTGGAGGCTGTGCTGGGGCCCAGGCGGCTCAAAGGTCTGTCACCGGCGACGGCCAGGCGACTATTCGTTGCGGCCGTAGCACCGACGATGGACTATGCGTCGAACATCTGGAGGTACAGATGCCGGGCAGCGCAGATGACAGCGATCAACCGGGTGCAGAGGATTGGAGCCCAGGCGATTATAGGAACCTTCAATACGGTCGCCACGGCGGTTGCTGAAGCGGAGGCAAGCATACAATCAGCACGAGAAAGATACGACAGGAAGTCAACGACGTTTTGGGTGCGGATGCGAAGTCTTCCCAAAACTCATCCGCTGCGACGACTGCGGCCGGTGACCTTTAGACGGTTCCCATCACCCTTCCAATTGATGGCGGAGGCCTTCCGTGACCAGCTTCTTGACAGGCTGGAGACTATTGAAGCGTTTTTGATGGCCCCATGGGAAGAAACAATGCACACAGCAGTCGACGACGACGCAGCCGAAGCATCAGAGGCAGTCCAGTCGGGATGGGCAGTGAGGATAGCGACGGGGAGCTCGGCAAGGAACGGGGTTGTGGGGTATGGAACAGCTACAACGCTACCCCTCTCAGTGAAAGGAGGCGGCGGCGTTATGACGGCCTCACGCACACTCGCACTGAGAACAGAGCAGAACCCGTACGTTGCAGAGCTGGTAGCGCTGGCAGAAGCGGTGAAGGCTCTACCCCAGAGGCTTGACTACCGGGCCATCCATGTGTTCACCCGCAACAAAGCAGCTGTGTTAGCCATCCGTAACCCGCGGCAGCAGTCAGGCCAACGAGAGATCCGCCGATTATACGCCGGTGTGCAAGCTCTTCAGAGAAAAGGCAACAGAGTCACACTCTTCTGGTTTCCATCAGCAATAGAAGCAGACCTGTCGAAAGCGGCTAAAGCAGCAGCAAAGGAAAGCACGAGGCCAAGCAAGACATCACAGAAGAAAGCTACTAGAGCTTACTCGACCGCTCTTAGGATCGCTTTACGAAGCGTGCTGCAGATGTACGGAGCTTTGCCCAACAACGTTGGAGCATACTCGAAGAAGATCGACGTGGCCTTGCCAGGAAAGCATATACGCGAGCTATATGACGGGCTCTCTTGGAAAGAAGCCAGTATACTGGCGCAACTACGCACCGGCATGGCAAGACTGAATTGGTACCTGCACCAGATCGGTGCGGCTGCCTCGGCGCAATGCGCCTGCGGACAAGCGGTAGAAACGGTAGAGCACTTCCTCTTCCGCTGCACACAGTGGACGGCACAGCGGACTCGGATGCTTCAGCAGACGGAATCGCGTAGAGGGAACCTGTCGTACTTTCTCGGAGGAAAACGCGCGTCCGATCCTGATGATTGGTCGCCATGCGTAGACGTTATCAAAGAGACGATCAAGTTTGCCATCAGTACGGAGAGGCTGGACGCACAGATCAGCCAGCAGCGAGACCACACACGACCTACATCAACACTCTAACCGACAATAACCCCACGCACCCTCATGCCATTAACAGCAGGACTGGCTTCGGCCGCCGACGATAGGACGCCGAACACTTTGGGAAATAACCTCAAGATGGACTGCTACTGACCCCACGAGCAATCGCAGACCTGGTAAGCAGTAACAAAGATGGCATATAAAGATTGATTATACTCGTATGGGCTTCGGGAGGCAGGGGTATGAGCGAAGGTGAAGATCATGTAGATAATCACATGAGCCCTGTGTGGCTTAGATGAGCCCCTACGCCAGCTAACGTGAGCGTGAGCGCGAGCGCATCGTTCGCAGCTGCAGAAGATTGCTTGGGTGTGTGGGTTGGTGATGTTGGAGACATAGGGACAAAGACTCAATGTCGCAAAGAGCCGAAGGGGGGTTGTTGGCTTTGAAATATATAACGCGTAGGCGATACTGCGAGTGTCCCGGCTAGGAGTTTCACCAACTTGGAGCGAAGGCTGTCTGCAAATATTCTGCGACTTTATAAGATGGTAAACTGTCGTGGGCCATATGAAATGCGGTATCTCGGTCCAGCACTGGCGGGCCATTGGCCCGTTACCTTCGATTTCAGTTGTACAAGACGGAAGCCCTCCCATTGGACTGCTTTCGAAAGCCACCAACGTGTGCGTCGCCGTCGCGGCGACTGAGGTCCTGCGCCACGTTTGTGGAGGATGCTGGGGCCCATTCCTCGCCTGCAACGTGCTCATCGCGGCTAGCTGTGCAGCGTAGGCGGCGGGAGGATCAACATGCGAGACCCGCCGCGGGAGACTTCCTACAGGAGGATCAGCCGGAGGTTGAAAAGCTTTACTCGAGCAGACGCGGCCCAGGAGACTGTGCTTGCCTGTAATTTCTCAGCCAGACCTCTTCTGGGGTCGTTCCTGAAACAGCCGAAGAAATTGCTGCCCCCGGGCGCAGCTGCCGCCAGATGCCCTTGCTTGCAGCTGGTCTGTCACCTCGCTGAAGCGCACGTTACCTCTCCGTCGCCAGGCTGAACGTTTCGCACAGTGAGCGGTCTGATTCGTAAAACTCGCCCTTGACGAAGCGCGTGGAGGTGTTGCGGCATCCCCACGCGCGCTTGACAGCTGCGGTGTCTGCCGCAAGCCATGTTGATTGGCGCCCTCAGTCGCGTAGAACAAGGGCACTCGAGCTCGCGATAGCAAAACGCATGCTCAGACCTCCGGCATCGAACAGAAGTAATCCAGTAGCAATCTCGGCAAGATTGCTCCAAGGACCTGACCTATGTGCTCCTCCTGCCAACGTGTCGACAGTCACGCTTTCGCTCAAGAACGGTAGACATCCATCGCCGGACTGCAGTGGACGTGCAGGCGGCAAGGCCCAAGTTCGAGAAAGAAAACTGGTTTCTTTCGCGTCACTCAACCTGCCCAGCCAGTAACGAAAGCGTCGTGCGCCCCGACGCAGCTCTTGCAAAGTGATTGTAGGTCGAGCGTGTCGATGAAGCAGCACGCGGGTGCATCCGAGGAGCTAACATCCCCTACTGGCAGTATTGCCCTTGGACAAAGACAACGCCCCCGATGCTGCAACAGCACCGCCGACGAGCTGAATGCCGCTGTGCAACACCGTAACTACCAGCTCCGGCGCTCTGGAGCACAGCAAACACGCCGGAAGCTGCGACGTTGCCAATGGCGCTATGAACGCCCACGGCAGCGAACCCTGTGAGTACACTGTTGTCAGCTAAAAACCGGCGACGAAGGTAAGAATGTCACGCACCGGCAATAACGCCTTCGGCCCCAAAACTCTGGGGCTGCGGGATCAAGCCGACCCCAACAGCGCCGCACGCCGCCGCTATGCCAGGGTTGGCCTCGCCGGCCTGATATGTCTGCGCGGTGGTTTCCAGAGTGAGCTGCTTCGTTTTGCGCCAGAGTCATCAATCTGCCTGGAACCTCAGCCTCGGGCCGTCGAGACTGAAAGCGGAGCAGTGAGCATTGACTTTGGGAGCTACATGCTTGGTTTCCTTCCCTTTTGTGAAAGCGGCTGCGGGAGTACCCCCGCCCTATGCGAGGTATTGTAGGTGCTCTCTGTCTGATACCGCTTTCCGGCTGGTACGTTGTCCCATGTGACACTCAGCATCGGCCTGATACAGTGATACGCATGGTGCTGCATAGTGCCGCCGACTCCCCCGGCGAACAACTTGCCAGAGTTATCCAAGCCGACGACGATCTCTCGCCCGCAAAGAACAGACTTCTCTCTCAGACATGTGAGAATCTGTACCACAATGATCCAGCCTCCAGTTCATTGTGGCTGTTCCTGGATATTTCTGTCAACGGGGGACCCTGTTAGCCTCCTGCCAGATATCTTCTGACACCAGAGGAAAAACCAACTGTCGGCCCACCTTGTCCATAACCGAACTTCAGAGTCACGCGGCTTTCCTCACTCAGCATGGATCATGAGAGAATATAGCCTTCGATGGTGAAGTTTTCCCACGGCAAGGCGCAAGCCACCGACCGAAACCATCTTACAGAAGGCGCGACCTACAGTCCTCGCGATAACTGGCTGCAATTTTTGTTAATAATGTTTTACTTCGGGATTGGACATTTTGCTGGGCTTGCGCTGCGAGCGTGTCGCATCACACAGCGGCTGGTCGTCACTCCATGGCTGTTGGTTTAATATACCAGCCTGTTGAGAACTAGCGTCAGCGCACACCGCACAAGCAATCTCCCAGCATCTGCCAATCTCAGCAAGGATGCATCCTATGTCGGCGGCTTTGATTGCATCCATTACTATTTGAAAGTCTCACACATTCGCGCCTTCATTTCGTCCATTTGGCTGGCGACTTTCTTCTGGACGCATTCCCTCAACAACTTGATCAAGTCTCCCTCACATATTCTGTCCAGGTACTCTTTTACAAGGTCGTCCAGGTGCTCTTTCATCGGCTCGCCCACAGGCCCTTGGAAACCGTCACCCCATATGAACGATGCCAAATCCTCCGCTAGCTTCGGATTATCTGCCAGTTGTTTCCCATGTTCCCCTGTAACTTCTTGCAGCTCGCTGATATCGAGCCACATGCTCTCCCTCTCCTCATCGGCCGTCTCTTGTCGATTTGTCAATTCGGCACAGGTATTCTCCAACTCAGAATTCCGTCTCTTGAGTTCCGCATTCTGTCTCTTGAGTTTTCCGATCTGGTCTTGCAATGCCTTGAGCTGTTCTTGACTCAGCTGCTGCTCACTCTGCTCGTGGAGCAGTTGCTTGATCTGTTGTTGTTGGTCGTCAAGCCGACTGGTCAACTCGCGGAACACCATGCAAACATCCATGCCGGCGCCCTCAGATTCGAGCCTCGGCTTTGCATCAAGACACTGAACGTTCCTCGTTGGAGCTGTCGTGGACGGCGTAGCGGACAAGATCTTTTTGGAGCGTGGGCATAGAAGAGCGTCCTCGTTCGCGTATTGCCGTGGGCGTTTGGCAGCATTCGGTACACTGCACAACGACTGTGTGCCATCGTACTCGGGCGGTGCATGACCAACGGAGGGACTTTCAACAAAATTGGCTTCGTCGTCCGAGGTCGCCCTAGATTCCCCTACCTCGACGAGGCATTCACCGTACTGAGGGGGCAAGCCCTCAGGACGCGGAACACTGTCGAAGTCCACCGTTGAGCCATTTGACGGGTTCGTCGCTGGTGTGGTGGATCTGCTCCGTTCCCCGTCTGTGCCAGAGCTATCCTCATAATCATCGGGGGTAAGAACCCTGCCACCTTTGCCACCGTACAACCTCTTTGGATCCACCTTGCGCCGAAAATCGCGTAGGTCATCTTCATTCAACCCTGAAAACTGAGGAACGGCCCGGACGCATTGCTGGAGCAACGATTTTTGCACTTTGTTGCGAGGGAAGTATACGCAGAACGACGGAGAGGAGGCGAGCGAGGCGAAGAGACGAATGGCATGCCGAGCCGCGCTGTCGGGTGTCTCGAAGCCGTTGGAATCCTTCGGCACGATGATCTGCGCGCTCATGCCACTAAGCAGTTTGAACCGTAGGCGCGTCAAGTCACTGGTGCCGCCAAGTCGCTGGCGCGCATCATCGGGATGTGACGAGGGGACATCATCCCATCGGCAAAGCTCCGACCGTAGCAAAGCTAGATGGTCTGGCAGGATTTGCAGGATGATCGAAGCGTCACATACACCATCGACCTTGGGGCTGAGACGGAAATAGACTAATGTCGGCGGGTAACACGCGATGCGGAGGGTGAACAGCTGGTTGATGAATTCGGCCTGCCGTCCGTCTGAGTATTCGCGCTCCGTAAAGACGTCGACTTTCGCTGATTCGACTTTCGCTGATTCGACTTTCGCTGATTGTGCCGCCATGCTGAAGATGTTGTGTTCCCTTGCAGTTAATCTCCTAGGGATACGCGCGTAGAAAGGCGCGGTCAGAAACGGGGTGATAGAGTACTTACCGTGGTTGTGGCGTTGTCGTCACTGTGATTATTCGGTCCTTTGTGGGTCACCGTGGACAAGACGTGCCATGGCGTAGTCCCGACCCAACTCAAGGTGCATTGGGGGCTCTTGCGTATGCGAGTAGTAGAATGACCAGAGTGACGGGTGACGAGATCCAAGCCGACGCTAGACAAAGGCCAGGCTTGGATGAGTTCCGAAGGAGTCCAGTCCTATTCGCGCAAAGAGTCGGACAAGCAGCCAAGAGAGGGAGAGCGACTGGGACGCCAGGGACAGGTCGGTCGACGTGAGCGTGTGCGGATGGCACGTAGCAGGCAGGAGCGAAAAACAAGACGCTGATGTAGGCGCGGTTGGGAGCCAAGGGGGGGATACTGATGTGCATGGAAGTGCGAAATGAACGGAATATAAAGGAGCGGCGGACGAAAATCGGGGCTGGGGAGGTACGTGGTCCTCGGCGTTTATTTATTCCGCCCGCGAAACCGCCACTTGCATATGTGTGACTGGTCAACTTTTGCCTTGGGCGTTCATTGGGCCCACAGTGGATAGCAACAGAAATCCAGCACGTTTTTATTTCAAAGACATGCTACG